ACATTAATTTTTTATTTTTTCTTTTCCTTTTCCACCCCTCCTAATCTTTTTCATTTTTATTTTATTTTTTTTACTTCTTTTTTATTATTTATTATTTGTTATTTTTTTATTTTATTTTTTTATTAATTTAGAAATAGTCCTTTAATGTAAATATACATTAAAAATATTTTTTGAGGATTTTTTTTTATATTTAAATGTTTATAAAAATTTAAAATTGACTCATAACTTAATTTGAACTTGACTCAATTTGAATAATTCTAGTCAAAATCAAATCAAATTAAAATCAAATTGAATCAAATTGAATCAAGTTTAAAATTTATATAATTTGAATCAAATCAAATTGAAAGATTTTATAAAATAAATTTGACTCAACTTGACTCAAAAAAAAGAGTCAAATAAAGTTGATCTTTAAACTCAATTTGACTCAACTCATTCAGAACTCTAGTTAAAAATGTTAAATATATTAAACATGTTTAACATGTTTAATATAGTTAATATGTCTAATATATTAGATATGTTTAATATAGTTAATATAGTTAATACAGTTAATATAGTAGATATATCAATATATATAATAAAATAGATATAAATACAAGCTCTTTGTAAGTTAGAAAAGACAAACTGATAGCTGTATAAAATCTCTCTATTGTAAAAAATAGTATAATGCTACTTTTACTTTGTGTATCTCTATTTTTTATTTCTATTTTTTTATTTCTTTCATATATTATTATCTTATTATTTCCTTTCTATTTCAATAAAATATTTCTTATTTTCTTACATAAAACTCTTTATGAATTACTGTGACATCTTTTGATTTATGATTAAAGCTAGCTCACATTTAATAAACTTAACTTGACTTAATAAACTAGTAGTAAAATAACTATGAATAGTATAAAACTAGTTAGAATTATATATAAAATATAAAAAAGTTAACCCTCTAATACTGCGTCTAACAATTGCAACCTGAAAAGATTGCACATTAACATTACAATCATTTTCTTTATCAGAATTTTTTAAATTATCAGTATCATTAATATTTAAATTATTTAAGGTATCTGATATATAATAATTTTTAAAAGAATTAATGATTATCTTATTTGAAATTTGCTTACATTATTGTTTTACCCATTTACACATATTATTAAATTTAGCATGATGAAGATTACTTCTTATAGTTGACCAGTACTACTATTAACCATTCACATATATTATATTTTCTAAGATTATTCTTAAAAGATTTGTTAATTCTATATCAAGAGGTTAATATAAACTGATCAAATCACAGTAAAATTATAACTATTATTTTTGAATTTTTTTTACTGATTCCTCTAAATGCTCTCTAAAAGAATTGTAAACTATTAATATTAGTACATTAAACTTATTATTATTTTTTACGCTATTAAGATAATTAATATATCATTTCATTAATTCAAAATTCAACCATTTTCTTAAAACTAAACAAATACATTAAATAGAATATTTTCACCTTATGCTAATCTTTTTTCTTTGAATATACAAATTGAAGGATATTTTATTCTATTTATATATAAATTAAAATTGTAATTTAATATTGTAATTTTAAAATAAAAAACTAATTATCCAAAAATTTTCTGAAAATTTTACCTACAAAATATATTAAGATAACTATAAATCAGTCTTTTTATTACCTGTTACATAAATGTATGTTGTCTTTTTATCTTTTTGATTAATTATAAAATTTTCAGTCATATCAAACCAAACTGAAGTTTTATTTATATAGATTTTTTTATTTTAAGATAAATAATAAATTGGTGAAATTTTACTAATAATTCTTCAATTTGTGCAGGAAGTATTTGTAAAATTTTTGTACATTTCTACTAAACTAATTTATATTTCTTCATAAATGCAAATAATTAATAATTTGATGTTTTAAAATTCTCTGCTGCATTATCTTCCTCTAAAATTTCTAATATTTTAACTTTTACAATTGCATAAATTACTGCTAAACCTTGCTTTCTTTGCTCAATAATCTACTTATACAACTCTTTTTCAGCTTCAGGATAAATAATTTTTTGACTAGAACTAATTCACCTACTATTTTAGTTTATTACATTTACCTAACTAGAACTTACCTTTATCTAACGTCTAACTATATTAGCATCAAGTTCAAAATGACATGCTGTTTTGTTTCTTCTATATTGCTTAATATAATTAACAACTTCTTTTTTTGTTTAATAGAATAAGATTTATGATTATATTTTATTGTTTAATTATACTTAGTTTAGTTAAGTTTGTTTTTTACGTTTAACTTTTATGATTTTAGAAATTTTTCTTATGTAATATGTAACAGGTTTAAAATAGATTCACATAAAGTTCACGTTACTAAAGTTACTCTATTTTACATATTATTTAAAGGGAATATTCTGTTTTATAAATTTAATAAATTAGATGATTATTTTAATCAATTTAGATCAATTTATAATATGATTTCAAAGAAATAATTTATTTAAAATAAATCACCTAAAATTAGACATCCCTATAGCAATAAAAAAGTGCATATTTTTGGAAGTATACGGTAATGACTAAATTATTTCATAAAAATATTCTAATAATTATGCTATTTTTATTAGATTCTTTTTCTTAGTTCCTTTTTCTTAAAATTTTTCTTTAGCATATCTATTTAGACTTATATCACATATCATTATGGTTAATGATTTTTTTTAATGATGTGATATTGCTAATAACTTATTAAATTTATATAAAAAGAAATACTAAATAAATCAAATAAATCTATACTAAGTATTAGCTATCCTCTGTAATTATATTACAAATCTATTTGAATCAACTGGTCATCATCTTTATTTTCTAATAACTTTATTAAATATATACCTAATAAAAATTACCATTTATAAAAGAAGAAAAAGAAAGAGTTAGTGCTTATATAAAAATCTGAAAATATATAACCAAATTTATTTGCCAAATATATCTAAAGTTTTCAATAGTAAAATAGAACTAATGTTTTTTCATATATCAAAAATGAGCTAACATTTAATTTAAATTTATCTTCTTTAGTAATTCTTAATAATCATTATTTTTTGATCATCAAACTTTAAGATTATTTTTAAATATTTTCAAAAATTTCTAGTAAAAGATTAAGATAGTTTAAGTGATGATAAAGGAGCAATAATCTTTTTATCTAGTAATTTTGTGAATAATATTAATTAGTAAAAATGGAATAAGCATCTTAATTATATTAATATAACTATCAAAACTAGAAGAATATAAAGTAAAAATATTATTGAAAGTATTAAAAAGTATAAGAAGATATATTACAAGTCTTAAGCTATTCCAGTTATTAAAATAATTTAATAAATCATCCTTTGTGAATTAAAAGAAATTTTGTACTTTTAACAAGTAAATAGGATATTTTTAAAGATGTAATGAAGTTTTATTAGCAATACTACAACTTACATAATACTAGGATTCATAAAGATCAGAATAAAGTAAAAGAGAGTAGGCAATTTATCAATAAAGTTTTTTATAATAAATGTTTTAAATTTAAAGATGTAATGAATATAGCTAATGATTCTATTCTCTTTATTGATTATTTTATTTAAGATTTGTATAACATTTTGGTTAATCATTTATCAATTAATTAACAGATCTTCTTTGTTATAATAATTTCATACAAATTATTTTGTTATGTCACATAATTTTCATTTTGCAAATCATTTAAAAAAAAAAATAATAAATTTATTTTATAATAATTATAATAATTAAATAAAAATTATTTAAAAGCAAATTTATATTATTTTTAATTTCATTTATAAATAATTTTGCTAAATTTTTTTATTTTAATAATAAATTGAAGAAGTTTTTTAATTTTATCTTCTACATATTTTATTTTAACTTTTATTATCAAATTAATAATGTGAAAAATATATTAAAATAAATAAAGATATTATTATATACTTAATTTAATTTAGTTACTAATTAATTATTATATATTATTATATAATAGTAAGTAAAAAAAAACAACCACTAATAAATGCTTATAAATCATTAAGAGTATATTAGAAATCAATAATTTTTTTTACTTATAAGTTCAAATCTCTTACCGTATAGCGCTGCATACAGTATCCCCCAGCAATAGTATCCCCCTTAAGTAGTATCGGGTATTATTCAACTTTAAATTCAGGTGTTTTTGAAAAATACTCTGATACTAATCAAAATTCGATTTTGAAAAGTATCCCCGGTACTAATCAAAATCTGATTTTGAGAAGTATCTCTGGTACTAATCAAGATCCAGCAACATGTATACTTTATTTATATCAATTTAAATAAATAATAAAAATACTCATAAAATTTCAATTAAATTTTATTAACGAATCATAATATTATTATACAAACAAAGCCACTCATTATTTCCATACGTTAACATAATTTATTTCTTGTTCATAGTAACTGTTAAATTTTTCATCATATCTATCCTCTTCTTCTTCATATCCATCCTCTTCCTCATCCTCCACATTCTCTTCATCCTCTTCATCCTCTTCATCCTCTTCGCCTTCTTCATCCCCTTTATTCCCTTCATCCTCATAATCCTTATCATATTCATCCGATTCATCTTCCAATTCATCATTTAATTGATTTGTTTGCCCAAGACGATTATAATTAAAAATCCAGTCATCTTCAGTTCCATCGCGTTTATTAGAGATGCCACAGCATTTAAAAGATCACCTAATCACATTAACATCAACTGCATTCCATGAATCTTTAACCCAATTTGCTACAGTTTCGTAAGAAGGCCTTTTAAATTTACCGGTTGGTGTTAACTCTTTTACAGTTTCTGCCATCCACTCATTATAGTTTCGTCGCATCTATAAAGATGAAAATAATAAAAAATTTAATAATTTTTTTTTTTAAAATATAATTATACTAGAAATCAAAGGAAGTAGAAGAAATTAAAGGGTAATTATGTAGAAATCGAAGGGAAATGATGTAGAAATCAGAGGGTAATTATGAAAGGAATTGAAGAGTAATAGTGAAAGGAATCAGAGGGTAATAACAAAGGGAATTGGGGGTAATGATGAAGGGAATTGGAGGGTAATAATAAAGGGAATCGGAGGGTAATAACAAAGGGAATCAAATAATTCTTATGATACGGATAAGAGAAATTTTTATACAAAGAATTTCAAGCCCAAACAAATCGAGGAATCAAGCCCGAGTCCAGTAATTTCTTTGGTTGATGATTCATCGTCGAATTCGAACTTTGACAATAATGTTCGCTTAAATCCTGTTCAAGTATCGAGTCCGAAACCTTTTCATAAGCATCAAGGATCAAACAACAATAATTACAAGAATGGTCGTAATAATCACAAACATATGCAGTATAACTCGAAATCGTCACAGAAGTCCGCCGAGAATTTCGAATTCAACAATAATCCTTATCCGCCAAATTATTCTACGTCACCAACACGTAATAACAGTAACAATAACGGTTTACAAGGGTCCACGAGATTCAACGATTCGGTGTATTCTGGTGCGAATAACGGAAATGGTTTCTTGTCACCGCAAAACTCAGTTTCACAGCAGCAGCCTTTCCAGAATCATCATGAACAATCTAATGATGGACCAGATTACCAAAGGCGAATGTCACATCAATCGTCCTCTGATGGTTCAAATAGTCAAACAAGTGGTAATACTAGTAACACTAGTTATAGTAATAGTAGCAATTATTCAAAGAATTATCATCAGAAAAGTAATAATAACAATCAGGATAATTATTATCAGCAACAAAACCAGAATAAGCCAGTATATAATAATAGTAAAAAAAAGCAGAAGAATAACCAGCAGGTGGATAATCGTAATACTAATAATGATAATAATTGGGCTTACAGAAATTCCATGAATGGTAATAATTGCTATAGCAATTCTGGAAATAGATCAAATGGTAGAGATCCAGTCCTTATTAATTATGAGTTAACATCCGTGACAGATCCAAATTCTCATATGTATCAAGGATATCAAGATCAAGGATATCAAGGAATGTCAAACGTTAGCAATGATAATAATTATTACACGTGCGATAACAGCGTTACTAGTGACGTCATTGGATATAGAGCTCTTAACGGATTTAGCGACATATTAAAAGGTTGTAATAATAATAACAATAGTAACTCTATCGGTGGGAAGGATTCAAACTTTCCAAAGACATCAAACGTTAATTATATCAATGGTCCAAAATTAGTGAACAGTGGCAGCCAATCCACAATTCGAAATGTAAATGGTGGTAACTTAAACAATAATTGTTCACGTTCGCCCATTGTCATTAATAATTACCATAATTCGTTTGGGAATTGCCAACAAGTTCCCAAGTCCGTTGAAATCAATAATAATTTTAATGCGCAAGCGAAGCATGGTAACAATAACTATTCAATATCACCAAAGAATGGAGGAAACATTAATAATGGCATCACTCAACGAATGAATCAGAACAAAAAGGGTCGTGTTAATAATAATAGTCATCAGAATAATAATCATTACAATAACAACAATAACAATAACAATAACAACAACAATAACAAAAATTCTCGAAAGTATAGTAATGCTGTTAAGGCTGATAAGAAAGAAGATGGTTCCAATCAACAACAGCAATCTTTACAAGTACAGTCATTACCTCAAGAGCGACAGATATATAACAATAGTCAACTTCACCAACATCACCATCAACAAGAAGGTAGTCCAAGACAAAAAAACGGACAGAATAACAATGTTAAAAAGGGGAATAAAGCTGGATCGAAAAAACACGGTCACAAACAAAGCTTTGAGTGCCAACCACAACAATAAATGAATCGTATGGAGAAAATAATGAAATGTATAATTATGAGGAGTAGTAATGATTCATACCAAAGGAGTGACAATGGATTTAATGAATTCGGACTTTTTATTTTATATATTGAAGGTTTTAAAAAAAAAAATCTAATAGATTTCTTTATTCGGGGAAAAAAGATCCGTGTAATTTTTTAGCATTTTTTTTTTTTTTCTTTATTTAGATATTAGGTTTCTTTTTTCTCTGGATAGTTGTAATATTTTTTTTATAATTCTGCATTATATATATTTTCATGGGATGGGTTTTTTTTATTATTCTATATATTTTGTATGTAAAGTGTTTAACACAAGAAATCAAAAAAAAATCAAAAAATCACTTTTCTTTCGAAAAGTTATATATATATAAAATATAAATTTTTAATTTTTGTAATATTTCACGAAGAATCATCAGATTAAGTATTTTTATATATATATATATAATTTCTTTTTTTTTATTATTATTCTATATTTATTCGAGTAATGGGTGAAATAATTTATTTTTAATGAATAGTTGTAATGATGATGTTTAGGGAAAGGGAAAGGGGAAGGTGCTTATATATCTATATATTTATTTATTTAATAATTAGTAGTAATATTGGTTTGTTTATATATAGTTCAGTATCTGATATTTTCTTTTTTTTTTTTTTTCTTCTTATACGCATGTTACAACCCATCCCCTTTTTTTTTTATTTTCTTATTTTAATTTCATGTATGATAATAGAAATTTTAAGTGATTTTTTTTCCCCGAGATTATCTTATAGAAATTTTTTGTAAATATATTTTTTTTATATATATAAAGAACATTTTAATAAATTGTTGTGAAATGAAACATTTTAATAAATCGGTTTGATATATCTTTATTTTGGTAAATAAATGAGATAATGATTTCAGGAAGTTGAGATCTGAACTTCATCGGCATAACCGCCGTTATAAAACATCATCACAACAAATCATTCCCAAACACCTTTTTTTTTTTAGGAATTGAAGGACGAGATTAAAAAGATGCGCTCAAAATTCATTTATTGAATTTAAAAGGAATGTTTGCGCAGCAAATAAACTCTTTTATATTTCATTCTTTTTTTTTTTTTTGATGTTTAAAAGGAATCGCATTAGTTATGAAAACACTTTATATACTTCTGACGTTTTCCCAGAAAAAAAAATTATATAAAACGTCCATATATCATTCCTTATATATTTCAAACCATTTTCCTGAACAAACAGCCAGGACAGGGCAAGTCACGTTACCCATCGTATACAAAATTCGTAGTTCTCTTCAATGATACGACCTTCAATCCGCCAATGAGTCGCGAACTTTCCCAAGATATTCTTGCCTTCATCTAACCAATAGAGAAAAATGCCACTCTTACCAACGAGAACGGAAAAGCAACGATATACAACAAGCGACTTCACAAATGAATCAATTCCTTACTTTAGCCAAAAAAATTATTTAATATTAATATTTAATATTTTATAATAATGAATAAATAATATAATAAATTTTAATTACAATAATCAGATTTAATATACTGTATGTGTATAAGCATGGAAGATGTATTTATGTGGTTTATAACATCACAGTAACATTTTTCATATATGCAGCAGAATCAGAGAGAAATAAAAATAGATGGTTCTAAGATATATTATAAAAAAGTACTATAGAAAGAAGTATCTATACAATTGTTAAATTATTAATTTGTTCTAAAATCAACAAATACTAATTTAATATCTGAACGATGACTTTCATCCATAATATTACAAATAGATTTAGAATTAAATTTTAATTTTACATGTTTGTTAAAATTCTAGATAAATATAATTATCACAAAGTTGATATATTTGCATTAATAAATCTTTTATTAAATCTTTTATTACTTTTTTTTTGATTCTAAAGCAAATAAGAATGTTTATAATGTTTATTAACTTTTAACTTTTTCTTTTATTTAAAATTATTTTTTTTATAAAATATTTTTGCTTATATAATATGCATCTATTATTTGATTTATATTTCTATTCTACTAAAAAAAATCACAATAATTATAAAAAATAAATCATTAATGCAAAATACTCTGTTATATTCATTAACTTACATTTGAACTATTATATAATTAAATTATTTTTAAGTATTATTTTTCAAAAGTTAATCTATGATTTCTGATTTTTTTATTTAGATTTGTATATTAAAAAATTATTTATATTACAGATTATATATTTTAATAAATATTAAATATAATAATTTAAAAGTAAAATTAGATGATAAAAATAGAAAATTTTGTAATTAAATTTCAAATGATATTAGTTTAATTTAATTATAAGCTAATTAAATCTAATTAAAATTTCACTTCAATTTGAATTGTAAACTATTAAAATTTGAATTAAAATAAAATTTTATATTAATACAAAAATTTAGTTCAGTTCAACTAAACAAAATAAATCATTTAATTAAAATAATATTTTTAATTATTCTTATCAAATAATGCTTTTATAATTTGATTAGAATAATATATTTGATTATTTCAATTAATAATACTTATATCACTTAATTAAAATGACTTTTTTTTTTATTATTTTAATTGAAAAAATTTTTTAATTTTTTTGATTAGTCTAATCAAATGATTTTTATTATTTTAATTAATAATCCTTTTATTGTTTAATTAGAATAATATATTTAATTAAAAATATTTTATATTTAAAATAATATATTTAATCATTTTAATTAAATAATATTAGAATTATAATCTAAAAAATCTAAATTAAATTAAAATTTATAAATCAATTTTTTATGTATTTTAAAATTAAATTGGATCTATTTGAATTGAAAATCTTTAGATTAAACTAAATTATTTAAAATTTTATTTATGATTATCACAAAATTGTGTATCATTATTAAAGATGGTTACTGCAATTAAAAAAAATAACATAATTGAGTTGCAACTTGTGACGCAATTAAATTTCCTTATGATGCAATTAAGTTACAACTCAATTGAAATTTAAAAATATTATAGGGACCATCTTTAATCATTATAATATTTATAAAATATCATTAATTATTATTTCTAAATTATATTTATAATCAAAGTATTATAAAAAATTTATAATTTATAATATTTATATAATATTATAGTTAAAGATTTTATAAAAAATTATAGTCTATAATATTTAATAATAATATGAAACTTTTACAATAGAAAGAAAAGAAATTATTAAAAAAAATAATTATACTTTATATAGCAAATAATTTTTAAATTAAAATATGTTTAAATTTAACTTTAATTCATTTTTTTTTCAGCTGTTTTTCTTTTTCTATTGCAAAAATCATATATATTTAAAATAATTAATAAATTTTACAATTTTTAATTAATAAACTATTAAGTGATATAAATATTTATTTATATTGAAAACAAAAGAGGTATAATACTAGTATATAAAATTTACTTTATTTAATAATTATTTCAAATTTTTAGTAAAATCTTTTATAATATTATAAGAAATCAATCAATAAAAATATATGATATTATGTAATTTCATGTAACTAATAAAGGTTAAATTTAAATAAAATACTATATGACAAATTTTTTTTCTTTATTAGATTAAGAAGATATTATTATAAAAATATGAACCAGTTAAGGTTGAAAATTTATATGTATTAAAATTAATATTATAATTTTATTATACTTATACTTATTTTATATTAATTATTATACTAAATTTCAACTAAAGTTGCTTATCTAAACTCATTTTAGATTTGACAAAATGATTAAACTATAGTTTCATTAAATTTACTAAAATTTTAATATAATTTCACATTTTTATAAGCTTTAATATAGTTTTACCTTTTTAGAATTTTGCAGATTTTTTAATAAGATTTTAATATAATTTTATTAAATATTACCTTTTTCTATTTAGATGATTTGCAAAACCTCTAGGTTTCATCTAATAATCTTATTCAGAAGCAAAGATTAAAACTTTTGATTCTTTCATTAAATATTTATAAATAGTAAATTATTATATTATAAATATTTTATATTATTAAGAGTTTATAATTAAATGTAATATTATAAATAATTACAATAAAGTTACTTTAATTATATATATAACTTTAATTAACTCATATTATTATATTATAAAAACTAAAATATGTAATCTTTTAAACTTTAAAGTATAAACATAAGATATTCTTTTTACTATAAAAATTTCTAGCTAAAAGAATTTAAGAAATATCTAAAAGTATATATTTTCTCTCTAGAGAAAGTTCTTAAAAAAAACATCTTATTATAGGTTTAGATTTTATTTCTTAATTATGTATAATGACTATTTAAGAACACCTAATCAAAATTTTACTATATTAAACATCTATGAAAATTTTCAAATATATTACTCTTCTTGCTATATATTAATATTTTAGTTTTTGCTAAGAAAATTTTTAATCATCACACATGCAACATAGTGAAATTATTTATATAAATTTAAAAGTATATTAAGTATCTTTACATGTTGTATTCTTTTTTGAGATTGATTTTAGTAATCAGTTACCTAAGTATCCTAACTATTAGGTCAACTAGTTCTATATATTATTATACTCAGAAATAAGTCTCTTCTTGCTATATTTCAAGCTGATTTGAATTATTGAATTAATAACCATCATAATAAGCTATATAAAATAAATATTGTGTGATAACCCTCTATGCTATTATACAGACCCCCACCAAAAGTCTCCAAACGTCATCTTTCGGCTATTTCATACTGAATACATTATATGACTGTATAATACTGCGGTCATGTAATGTACCTGACCTTGTTTGCTTGAATCAAAACCAAATAAAAGCATGTTTGGTTTATTTATTTTGATTTTTAACTAAAATAAAATTTACCTTCTGAAAATCACAAAAATATTCAAAGAACAACGCAGTGGTATATATTTTGCCGTTAACGTGGCGATAGTTACTGGGTTATTACCGCAAATATCAATTATAGATTTTTAA